TTTTTAAGCAAAGTAAGTAATAGGAGGGTAACAATAGATAATATATGGATTATTGTTATCTTCAAAGTAGTTACACACATTACAAGATATGGACCTAAAAATTTCTCCAAACAATATTAGCATAGACCTTTTTTTTTTTTTTTTGGAACCAGGCATTGAACTCAGGCCCTTGCACTTGCCAGGGAAGTGCTTATTCCTCTGAGCCACCTCCCTGGTCCCAGCATAGACCTTTCTTTTCAATAAACTAAGAAAAAACAGTAGCATAACTGTCTTTTTTTTTTTTTTTTCCTTTTCTCTTCCTTGTTTTTCTCTTTCCCCCACCCTATTTCCTCTTTCCCTTTGGTACAATTTCTTCCCATTTCACAATATCTACTATACATTTTGGACCTTATTTACTCTTTCAATTTATCATGCCAGGGAGACAACTTGATGTTTACACATGTGTGTCTGGTTTATCTCACTTATGAGTATGATTTCATTTACCTAGACATGTCTCAAGTTTATCCTTCTCTATAGCTGAGTAGTACTCTACTGTTTAAAAAGATGACATCTTTGATGGGTATTTGAGTGGTTTACAAGATTTAGTTATGACACATTGTGCTGCTATAAAAATGGATGCACATATATTGCAATGGTATGATGCTTCTCATTCTTCTAGGAAGATACCTGGAAGGGCAATAGCTGGGTTGAATGAGACCTCTAATCCTAGTTTTCAAGGAATGTCCATACTGATTTCCACAGACATTGTACCAGTCTACTACACATACAATTTTAACTTTATAATTTTTATGAGAATCCAAAGTAAAGGATTCTAACATACAAAGTGGGTTATATGAATCTTTTAAGTCTTTTGGAAGCTTCCTAATTACTTAAAATTCTTGACTCCTTTTTGAAATTTAAACACCTTCCTTTCTATTTCTTGCACAAAATTATCTCATTGCTTGAGACTACTTTTCCTAATTGCTGTCATCTCTGCTGGAATTCTTTTTTTTTTTTTTTTTTTGGCCCCCTTTTTTTTTTTTTTTTTTTTTTTCTCAACCCTCCCTGAGAGGGTGGGGCTGGCACAGAAAAATGGCATAGAATGTGGTGCTGGGGATTGAACCACGGTCCCCTGCGCCTGCCTAAGCCTAAGCTTGCCTAAGCAGGTGCTTTAGGCCACCGAACTATGGCGCTGGCCCCTGCAATTCTTTTCAGATCATTCTGCATGACTAGGCTTTCTTTACTGATCTGAACTATGTTCAAGAATTCATTTTAAGAAACTCACTTATTTAGACATACACTACTTCTTAGAAGTGTATTATGGGCACAGTAATAAAATTGCTGAATTGTGAACACATAGACAAAAACCACCACCTTTGTGAAATTGGTTCCAACTGTTAACACATTTATCTTCCTCCTCTCCACTAGATAATAAGCTCGCTAAGTTTGCATTCTTGGTCATTGTGCTTCAAATGCTCAGCACCAAACCTTTCAGAGAACAGCCATTCAATAACTATGTGTCAAGAAGAACCCAAATTATGATTTCCTAAGTTAACTATGAGGCTTGCATGAAACAATATTTTAACATTTACTTGTACTCAATTTTTGAAAGATTATTATATGGCATATAAAAATATTCAAGTGAAACTGCAAAACTACCAATGAAAATCATTTCAGTTTAAGATGATAATATTAACCCCAAAATGCACAACACACAATTAGTATTTATAAAGTATATCTCAATATATCTAGAAAAATAACATTTTTCTCATTGCACTGTAGAATACAAAGCATGTTCAAAACTATAGTGATCGCTAAATTTTCTTTTGCAACTGGTTACAGTTTTTAAAAAAAGCCACAAGTTTATTAATTCCCCTCAAAATACACTTTCTCACTTCTGTATTTATCCCATCCTTCATGCCTCTTTCTGAAGCAGTTCTGGCTATTCCCTTTCTTTCTTTCTTTCTTTCTTTCTTTCTTTCTTTCTTTCTTTCTTTCTTTCGTTCTTTCTTTTTTTTTCTTTTCTGACTTTTTGAGACAGGGTCTTGCTATGCAGCTCAGCTGAACTTGAGCTTACTTAGTAGCCCGGGCTGGTCTCAAACTTGCAATGATCCTCCTGCCTCAGCCTTCTGAGTTCTCGGATGATAGGTGTGTGTCACTACGCCCGGCTTGGCAGTTCTCTTTCATGAGTGTCCTTAATGATACTACCGTAACTGCCTTAAAGTCCTGAATTGATTCAAAACTTGTACCTCTCATGTTCATTCTGACTGTAAGGCAGAGCCAGAATTCACAAAATGGTACCTGATGAGTAACATGGATGAGGACATTTTATAATATTTTTATAAGACTTCCTTTTTTGAATAGCACTTAGTAGTACCATGCTATCTATCTATCTATCTATCTATATCTATATCTATATCTATATCTATATCTATATCTATATATATATATATATATATATATATATATATCAGTACTGGGAATTGAACTCAGGACAGCAAGTGCTTATTCTACTGAGCTACCTCCTAGGACCCTCACCATATTTTTGACCACGACTCCCACAACTCATACAGCTATTTATAGAAAAGGAATTCCAGAAGTGCTTTTGGATTAGGATAAGTGTCAGAAGTCAACAAAAGTACTGTAAAGGGAATAAATAAGGGGACTGGGGAGATAGCTCAGTGGCATAAGTGCCTACCTGGCAAGCACAAGGTCCTGAGTTTGACCTCCAATACAGAAAAAAAAATTAAAAAGGCACATAAAGAGAATGAACAGCAATGCGTCCTTTACTGTCCTACTTCTTAAAATGGAAACATTCACTGTATACGCTGATGGCGCCTCGCACTTTGCATGTGCTTGGTCCTGCATCACGGATATTTGGTCCATGTACCGGCTCTGTCATAGCGCAGTACTCCCTCCTGCTAGTCTGCCTGCTATTTCACAAGACGAGAGCTAACTTTCTAACCTATTTTGTCTTCTAACCTATTTCGTCTAACTTTCACCACATAATACATAGAAAAGCAAGGAAATATTTGCTCTGTACACAGGCACTTAACACCAAGGAGAAAATAAGACTCATGTTCTAACGTGCTTCTCTGGAAGGCCATGTTGAAGCAAAACAACAAAAAATGTGAACATCAACTAAGCAGAGTGATACTTAAATTTTAAAAAAAATCAATTTAAAACAATGAAATTACATGATGAGTATGCCCCAAAAGGTGACCTATATAAAAATGGATCTCCATCCATGGCGCATGAGCAGTCACTTTAAGTGACGAATTAGAAATAACTTGAAGCATTAACTTCCATGGTTGAAAATGAGATATTCATTCACAAGGTTTAGTTGCTATTGCTGAAAATGAGATATTCTCTAAGTTCAGCTTGCTTTTGCATCGCTGGCAAGCCAGGGGCACAGTGGTTGAAGGGATGGCTTTAATATTTAAACAGATTTATAGAGAAGCAAGCACTGATTTTACACAATATAGCCAGCATTTGCCTTCTGTTTTCAGAATATTCCTTAGCATTGTGAACTATCTGCGTATCTGTGGAGAGAGACACAGAGACAGAGACAGAGAGATAGACAGAGAGAGAGAATATTATATATCTATATGTTTCTATAATATATATTACCTTTTATATATTAAGGCAATATATGTTGTATATAAAATTGTGGCATCCTAGATGTACTTATGTAATAAACAAATCAATTTTATATAAATCATTCTATAACAAAATATTAAATAAAACTAATAATTTTACTGTGGCATAATAAAGCTTATATTATAATAAAATTGATATAATAAAATGTGAGTTCTTACTTGATATTTACACAAATGTTACATGGCTGATGACATACACATTGGGGAGTAGATAAATCATGTGAAAAACCAATAAAAACAAGGTGGTGCATAGTAAGGTTATCCATTAAACTGAATTAAAAATGAGTGTGAGAAAATCTTCAGCGAGGATTTCTCCTCTCTGGGTCCTTCAGGGCCAGAATAAGCAGCCTTGCTCATTCTGTTTACACAGGCAAGGGGCGTGGCTTCCTGG